ATATATATATATATATATATATATATATATATTTTCACTTTCCTCTGTTAAAAATTTAATCCTAATAACAAAAGTTTTAAATCCTTTCCATTTCCATGCATCCAAACAGTGTCTTATAGAGGAAGAAAGGGTTTAAATAGAAGCGCGTGGTTGCGTGTTGGCGGAGACAACAAAGAAAAGAACGGCGGAGAGCGTGAAAATGACGGACCTCGAACCAACCTTAAGGCCTTTCCATCAGAGAGCCACAGAAGCAGAGGTCACTCACTATTCATTTTTTTCCTTTCAAAATCTATCACATTGCTCCTTCGTTTTTCGGCTAAATTCAAGGCTTTAGTAGAGTATCAAGTGTCCAATTATCTAATAAAATTTGGAAAACAAGATGTTAATTGCAAATACTGTAGCAGAGTGTAGGTGGATTATATAGAGTAAAACTCCGTTTTGTTTTTTTGGTTAATTCAGTTAGTTTAGTTGAATGCACTTGATGCTGGAAGGGAAGGTAGGAACAATAGCTTGAAACAGAATTAGGTTGAAGGATAGGGGGTAGCAAAATTATGGGTTTTAGGGATAGAAACCTCATATCAAAGGTTCACTAGGTTACAAGGAAAATCCTTGGAATGATATACATGAGTGAAAAATATAAGTTTATCTATATTACACTTAGATAGCTCCTTAGTAGCTACTAGGACAAGTGGTTTGGCACTTGCATGCTCATTAACCGAGGATGGGGGTTTGATTTCCATATTGGGCATAGAATCATAGCTGGAGGTACTATTTTACTCTTGTAAGTAAGTACCGATTTGGTGGAAAAGAGTTATATCTCCTTGTTATACAAAAATAAAATTTTACAACTAAGTAATCAAAATATTATTATTGTTGACCCCCTCACCTGAGTGTTCTCTCCATCAACATTTCTTCTATTTTGAATAGAAATAGGATCGTACTAGCATGAAGTTTCAAGTATTAGGTAGAATTTTTAGTTAGTAATTCTATTGCTAAATCAATCAACCTAGAATATGTGAAACTTAAATGTGCATGGCTTGACATTAGAGTGGTTTTGACTCTGAAAAGATGTAAAATTATGGAAAGGACTGCCCCAGACATTCTTTTTCCTCGGGTTTCCATACATTTGCTTGTATCTTGTGCGTCTATGGAATTGAGCTCTTCTGCTATATTCACTGATCATGGAATTGTTGCAACCAACTGCATGAAATTTTGGCACTGTTATGAGACATGTCTCCTTTGTAATGAAAAGAAAAGGATTTTGAAATGAAATTTCCTTGTTGGAATTGGAAGAACATTACTCTCTCTGGCACTAGAGAGCGACACTAATTTATTATGTTTTAAATTCAAAATGGCTCATGGCTTATGTCCATGTGATCTTGTTTCCTGTGTGTCCCAAACACTGAGACTAGTTCATAGAGTTTAGCTAAAGCTCTCACTCTCTCTCACTATTGTTTTCTGTTTTTCTTTTTGAAGGGGGGGGGGGTGTGGGGGGGCCTTAAGTTTTGTTAAAGCTCTTTGTATGAGGGATTTACTGAAGGATTTCTTAACGTTACAACTCTCTTACCAGCATATCTTTATTGTAGGAGCGCTTATCAAGACTAGAAGCTGCAATTAATAGTAAACAAGGTAGGTACTCAGCACTACCATTAGTGTTTTCAGATTGATGTCCATCCGAGATTGTGGGCATAAATGACATTTATATGAAACTTGCTCAGATGCTGGAGATGAGAAAAGCTTGAAAGTTATTGATGATCTTCAGTCAAAGCTAAAAGTTGCAAATGCAGAGTTAATTTCAGAAAAAGAGAAGGTTGTACACATTTATGACTTATTAACATTACTTAATGGATTGAATATCATGCATCCTTTACTAATAATTTTTTTATTTGCAGGCTCAGATACTTGCTGTAGAGAATGAGAAACATAAATATCGAATAATTCATCTTTTGAGAACCATCAAGGATCTCAGATCAAAGTTAGAGCAAGTGAGTATAGCTGATTTGTTTTTCAATTTTTATTGAAATAAATGTTGCTTAATCAATAAAAGCTTGTACAGCAAGTGTGCATTATTTGAGTCAATATGAGTTTAGAAGTTTTTGGTCAGAGACTCATAGTGTCATACAATAATTTGGATTTTCAGATAGAAATGTGAAAACCGAAAACAAAATTATATTTCTTGGTTCAAAATATATTGCCCCTTTTAATGTGTTGCTTCAAGTCAAAATTAGGCATTATATCTGTTTATAAAAGAAAGATAAAATTAATATCACTTGAAAATTTAAGACAGGAACCATATTAAAAAAAATAGCGTGGTAAAATTAGCCTGCAACTAAAGTTGGTTTTATGTATTACTGTATTTTTTTTTTGCGTCTAAAGTGAGAAAAAGAAGTAGTTAAACAATGGATATTTTTTATATGCAACTAGTATGGTCGAAAGGTACTACGGTGGACCACCTTTTTATGTGGTCTTCCGTACACCATTATTTTAAAGTGTTAGATCTATCTCATACACACAACAATACCCTGTACCCTTTTCGTTACATTTGATTTCTCTGATTCTCCTCTGCTATCCTTCTTTAGTGAGCTCTATTTTCAACGACCATTCACCACAAACTCAGCAATGGCAATAACTTCTACACTCAAAACAAACCCCTTAAATTGGTAGCATTCCATCATTTGCATTACTCAACAAATATGAGAGTAGAATTGAAGAGGATGTTGGAATAATGCTACTAATTACTGTAACGAAAATGCAAATGGTGGAATGAGAGGACCAAAAATGACAGGATCAAGAGGGATCAAAGAGGATGATGGAATGAATTTGATTGTCATGAAATGGGTTTGCGTTGTTATAGGATCTCTGAAAGTGAAAATGTTGGAAGAGGAATGGTGTGATATTGCTAGGCATGAGAATGTAATTCCCAAACAGGCCTTACGGGTCTATTATAGGAGAAAAAATAAAAGGGCAGATTAGTTGTAAAAATACAAGTTTTTAGTTTTGGCTATAAATTCCCCTCTGGATATACAGGTGGGGGGTAATTTTTTCTAATTGGAAGTTTCAACTGGATTTTTACCAGTATGAAAGGAGAGTGCTACTTTGGGGCTTTAGACGAGTGTCTGCTTGCAACTTCTCTGGGACACATCCTTGCACTGGTCGAGATTTGATGCAATATTCACGGGGGTATACCCATTTTCTTTGAGAACCTTTCAGCAAAGTCTCATTTCGGGTGGCATTTGTGGATTTGCCTGGGGAAGAGTTTGGGGATTGTTCTGTGTTTATTAGTTATTACCAAGGAGGAGAAGAGAGAAAGGAACGGAAATGGGTAACAGAAGAGAGCGAGGAAAAACAAATCTGGTATAGGGGTATATGATCTTATTGTATATAAGAGATAAATCTAACGGTTATAAACAATGGTGCACGGTAAACTACCTAAAAAGGTAATTTGTAAGTTCTAAATTTCAGCAAAAAGAGTTTTAAATTATCTTGAATTTGTACGTTCTAAATTTCAGCAAAAAGAGTGTTAAATTATTTTGAATTTTCGAAGTCAATCTAGATGGTGAGAATTTGCATCAAAATTTGTTTATCTTGATTGCTCTTTCAATGGTTATCGAGAATGATATTATGAAGTTGATTCAACTTATTATGTGTCTCTTTACGTGGAATGAAATTTAATTAATGCTGTTGTATGGAATGTGGCTCACGGCCATGTTCATACTCTTTACATGGCTCATGACCCATGTCTTGGTGTTTCTTTTCCTGACTTCAGGATACAGCGCAGGAGCAGCTACAAGGCTTGAAATTGCAGGGTCCTTGAATCTGGAGTTTATGAGCTTAGATTGATAGTTGCTTTATCTTATCTATTTTGTTTTATGGTTGATATTTAATCATATAGTATGGCGTTGGTGATGCTAAATATGTTTGTCTTTACTGGTTTTACAACTTTAGAACTGATCTTTGTTTTGCTCATACATTATCATACACACTTGAATTTCTTCCACTTTAACTCATGCATTATCATATATTAGGTGTAATGCTACACAGCCACAGAAAATGTGTCAGGATTAAACAGTGTAAGAGATGATAAAGTGAGGATGACTTGTGCATCCAATAGTCCGACTCATTTTGGCTTCCCATGTTGGCAAACTAATTCTGTTAATTAGCATTATCCTACATGTTAATTTACTTGTCTTTGGATGGTAAATTTTTTCATGTTATTCTTAAGTTGTGTGTTCAACTGTATTGAATGGTATGGGGATGAGAAGATCGTTTGATTTCTTTTATTTATTTTTTCATTAACTAATAAAAGTGGTTCAAGCTTCAATAACAATCTAAATTTGAATTTGTTTGTCATGTATGATATATTGATATCTTGAAGTGTTGAACTCAAGACTTTTTTTTTTTTTTTTAAATAAAAAAAAAATCAAGTTTGAAACTCGTCTCGTAGTTAACATTGAATGGCTTACACAGTTTATTCTTCTGGGCTAATGTAACATTTTTTTGTGATTTTTTATTTTTATTTTTTATCGCCCTGTGTATTCTCTTAGCTTTGATTTACAAATTTGAATAGTGTTTTAATGGGTTCATTAACTTTTTAATTTTGTTACCTATGTTGGTCCGTTTCTAAATTTTTCATTTTAGATTCTCAATTTACCAATTATATTTGGTGTCGTGATTGTGATAAATTTTCACTCAACTATAATTTTGTATTTTTGCACGAACAGCGTTAGATGATAACTTAGGGATCAACATGTGTTTCCCAAGCTCTCGAGTAATTTGTATGGAGTGAAATGATGAGTCTATGCTCTTATATATTTATTGACAGACATCTTTAGACAGTACTAAAGTATGCGCATGGCACCAATGGGGTTAGATCTAGCGGAAGGTTTAATTCTTTAGCACACAATCAAGGTTCAAATTTTTATTAGGTGAGGTATTCACGTTGTTCTCCAATTTTTCAACTAGTTTATCTCAAAAAGGTATCTATTAGAATCTAAAAAATAATGCATGTAGAAAATTAAAAATAAATATGTGGTGTATTAATGAGTTATACTGTTTGATAGCGCTGAAATAAATGTGAGAAATAGACTGAAGTGTTTTTTTTAGGAAAAATAAGAAGAAAAAAAATAAGAAAGAAATATTCTAAAGTTGTTTGGTTTAAATGAAAAAAATATATTATAATGAAACTTAAATTACAAATTTACCCATTGTGATTGTGATCAATTCATCTTAAACAATTTGCATACAAACGTTTTAACTGACTGCGTAGCTGTTTAATTAATTATACCATTTCTAGGGTCTTAAAAAAATATTTTAATTGATTAATATACTATATAACAGATTACATAAGTCTTTCGTGGCGCATTTTGAACGAAGTGTCTAGCATTGCACGACACCAAAACCCGTTTCCATTTCAATCTAATGAAACAACCTTCATAAGTAATTGTCCAGGGAGAGAATAGTTTTGAAACAACATTGCTAGAGACGATTCACAGAGGCAAGTATCTTTGCTTCAAGTTGATCAAAGTTCACGCAAGAGAACATTGAACCAAACAGGGTACAAGTATTTGTCTTGAGACTCTGAAAAGGTTGTTAGCCAATGAGTACATGTAAAAGTCATTTTAATTCCCAATTAAGAATGAATGTATTAATGAATGAAGGCATGTTTTTGATGGTTAGGCAAGTGCTAACTATAATTTAAGTAGTCACTTGTGGAGAGTTAACTCTAATTTAAGTAGTCACTTGTGGAGAGCTAACTTTAATTTAAGTAGTCATTGATTTTTAAATTTTTAAAAAATTTGCAGACTTTATCTATGTATTAAAAACTTTAAATTAAATGATTGTATTATTAAAATTTGATGTAGAACATTGCATTGTTGAAATTTAATGTAGAATATAAATTATTGAACGAAATAAGTCTAACTAAACTTATTCTCGATCCTTATCATTTTGGTTGTCGAGGATGTTACACTATGTATTTCAGTTGAGTAATAGTAAGGTAAGTAGAGAGACAAAAATATTTGAAAATGATAACGTTAATATAGGGACTAGTGAGTGATGTAAAACGTGAAAAGTTAATTAAGTTTCATTGGAGTTCATTAAGATATTTCTTACGTAAAGTGTGACAAAATCAGTTAAGGTGTTAAAAATACAGATCGGTTGATTTAGTGGTGATCTTTGATGACCTCTTAGACAAACCTATAATTTATATGTTGATTAATTTGTTAACCAATTATATACGAATATAATAGGCAAATAATGAAAAATGATATTTTGTCCATGGTTAGGCCAATTTAGCCTTATATTCATAACAAGAACCAATTGGATAATGAAATGAATAGTTCACGAGACTCAATTGAATAATTTTTATTCTCAAATTTGATTCATCCAATTAGAGAATATTCATAAATGGATCTAAGTTTTGTTATTGGGTATTGTAGAAGAGCCATTAATATAAACTTACATACTTTGACATTTACAAACTTCAATTTTTTTGGTTGAATAGTTCTTTCTATTAAAATAAATGACAGAAACTTTCAATTGAATGCAATAAAAAAAAATAAAAACCATTTACAAGGAAGAATACATGATTTGGAGACAAATTTCATATTCAAGTTAAATTGCAATCATCATTTGAAGAGCATAATATGATTGGTTACCACAACCAAAATTTGAAAACTATAATTTGTTTGGTTTGAAGAAAGTGGATGATAAGAAAAAAAGAGTAATTTTTAAAGGAAAAAAAAATAGTTCATATGGTTCAAAAGTTCATAGGACTAAACTCCTTTATTACTTGATTTTCTTTTCCTTTTCAATATTGGAAGATATGAAAAGAAAGAAAAGTGATTTTATATTTTTTTTTTTGAATTGTATAAACTAAATTATTTAAAAATGTTTTATGTATGTTCTTCTTCATTATTATTAAAAAGATATAAGGATATATCATCCTTAAGAACTCATTCACCAAAAAATATTAATTCACTAAAATAAAACATTATATCATCCTTATTCTCTCTTCTCACTCTTCACAAAGCAAATAAGTTGACTTTTCTTCTCCTTAGGGGTGTATGTGAGTCAAGCCAAGCCAAACACTTAGGCTTGACTTGTGAGAAATTTTTTTTACTAAAACTTGACTCATTTTTTAATCAAGCCTAATTGAAAGCTTGAACTTAGCTTGTATTAAAAAAAAATCGAACTTGACTTATTTAACTCATTTTAACTTAATTATTTCGCTTTTATGAATTTTTTCTTAAAGTATTGTTTAACTTTATCAATTAACATTTAATAATTATCTCAATACTAAATAATTATCTAATAATAAAAATTGTGTTTAACATGTGATAGGTGAAATTATATTATTTTAGACCAATACATTTTCATAATTTAGTAAATAAAAAATTCATAACTTATTGTCTATTTCAATAAATAAAAAACTTCAAAATTAATTTAAGATTTTTTTAAGAGACAGCGACCTTTTTTATTTTGGAAAGAAAAAATTAAATTTACTAAAATATCAAACTTACACAAGATTTGTAAAATTTTAGTACAAATATACATGAGATGAATATAACTAAATCTATACATAACAAATCGACAATGTTACCAAAAAGAAAATAAATGTTTTCATAAAAGACACACACAGTGGATGTTTTGATAAGAAACTTTTAAATATAATAAATGAAAATTATTGATAATAATTATTAGATTAAAATAGATAATTTAATATAAAAATTTATATACAAAATTACACACAGGCACATATATGACATTTGCTAATAACTTGCTAATATACTCCTTCCAAAAAGAAGTGAATGTATGTTAGCAAATCTCACAAGCATTTGCTAATTTACACTACCTTATTTTTTAAGAATAAGTTAGCAAATCTCTTTGTATTTTTTTAATTATTTTGTTTTGTTGGTGGGTTTTAGTTTAGTCTTTCCACTTTGTAATTTTACTTTTCTTTTAATATTAGTATTCTTGATATGAAACATATGATTGATATAGAAAGAATTGTTAACTTAGTTATGATCGATCTCCCTTTACATAATAATACTATATCACATATACTTTTTTCAATATATATGTGTATAAGGATTTATTAGCCCTATATGTTGAGTCTCCTGAACTCATTTAAATAATCAAGTCTAACTTCAAGTTTAAATTTATTGATATAATTAAGGGAACAAACTTAAATGATTAATTGATGAGTCGAATTCGAATAGTTCATAAATAATTTAACTCATTTACACTCCTATTTTGCTTGAATCAAATCAAATAAGGGGATCATTTATCACTTTCCTCCATTAAAATTCATCATCTATTTCTATTTTTCAAATAAAAACATACTATAAAAGGAACAACATATTGAAGCTGTCAGATTTGATACCATGTCAAATAGTGAATACTTTGTTACATAGTTTTAAAACTCAGTTGGGATTGGTTGGTTTAACCGATCTAACTGAGACCCAATCATATCATGTAAGCAGTAATTGGATGGGTTATAGAGTTACATAATGAAATGGGTAAAATAGGGCTTAAACTCGATAAAGTTGGAGAGTTGGTGTTCATTCTGGCAGACCTATTTTTCCCGGATTTGGACTTTGCCTCTTTAAGCTTTTATGGAGCGTGTTGCCTGCTGCATTCATGTCCACTGACGCACATGCTGCTCTACTATACGTACATGCACTGGTGGTCTTTTGATGCACCATCAATGCATGTATGTGAAGTAGGACCAATTGTAAGTTAGAAAATATATATATTTAACCAGTACACCATGTGAGTCTAAGTTCTTATATTTGACCAATATAATATTTATACTATATAAAAAATATATTTTATTTGATCATGGATTTATTTACTATATTCTAGATCAAATTTTAATGATTCAACTGTTAAATTAAAAGTTTTTAATGTATAAATTAAGTTTACAAAATTTTAAAAAATTAAAAATTATTTAATATTTAATTTCATTAATTCAAATTGACAAGATTATCATAAAACTTATTATATGTTAATTTGAATCTATATAATGAAGTCTCATATATTTTTAAATTTTTTAAAATTTTATAAACTTGATCTATACATTAAGAACTTTTTATTTAACGATTGGATCATTGAAATTTGATGTAAAATATGAATTATAAGTAAAATCTATCTAACTTACTCTTGAAATAAATGAACTCCTCCTGATTTTGTTTT